CTAAACTGTGCAACCTTTGTTCATCTTTAGTGTTAAACTGGGTACGAAGGTCGTATGCAAAATATGGCAAAAAAAAGAAACATTTAGGTGAGGTTGTCTTGCACCCCTGACACACCCCTGCCATCAGCTATTTGACAGGTCAGTGAGTGTGGAAAACAGGGCAATATTTACAGGAGAAATCAGAGCATCTAAATTGCCATATGGATAGTAGCAATAAGCAGACAGCAGACAGACATACTCTGTTATGTCCTTCAGATTTGTTACCAAGTTCCTTGCTGTTCTTCCCCAACAGATTTTGTATGTGAGGCAGTTTTGATTAAGTCATCAATCTTTAGTTCTCTTCCTGAGCATTTATCATTCTCTAGTCCTATCATTCTTTTAGCCTTCTCACGAATTGAACAAAAAAAGAAAACCAAGCATGTATTAGCTTTACAGAAAGACACAGAAATCTGAGGGCTTTTTTCCCTCAATGGGACATTTCAAAACTAATCATCTCATGTACGAATTTTATAGAGCCACCATTGCTCATTCTTTTGAATTGCCCTGTTCCCTTTAATTGAAGTTAATCAATGAATCTTCCTAATACTTTTACTCTGTGTTGGGCAAAACATCAGGAAAAGAGGTGTGCTGACATCTAAATATCTTTGGAGAGAGAAAAAGGAAACTGGCCCATTATGGCCATCTTTCCAGGAACTTTTCTACACCCCTCCCCTCTAAACTGCAGCTGGAGTTGTTCTGGCAACACTAATGGCATTAGGCTCTGAAAGCTCTTGATCAATTATAGCAGGCAGTTTCAGGCAGTGGGAAATCTGCTGCTGGTTAGACTGGCAGTGCATCTTTTCCAGAGCTGTCATTTCCCTTGTCCTTGTAAACAGAGATTATAAGTAGAAATTATTTACAGTGACGGATGAGAACAGCATCTTTTCTTGGTGTCTCCTGAACTGCTTTTGCTTTTAGAATAAATCTTAAGAGTCAGGAATCACTAAGCATAAAATATAGGTACGGAAGGCTGACATCTCTATATAACAATTATCAGATTCCTTTTTTCAGTAAGCAGAAGGCTTTTTCATGTATCTAGAAATCTATTTAATATTTCATGGACTCCTAAATTATTCACAGGTTAGAGTGCTCAACTGTTACTGTCATTTAAAGAGCAAGTGCCCAGCAGGAGTCTCGCATGGGACTTTGTAGATCACGTCAAAGCATAACATTTGGTTCATAAAAGAAATGTTATAGTTCCAAAGGTAACAGCATCCAATTTATATTCTGTTAATCCTGGCCTGGCTAATAAAAGACATGATGAGATTTCTTGTTTTGATCCTTATCTATTTGCTCAGTAAAACTTTTCACCATCCGACAACAAATCTGGGATCCCAAGTCACCTGGTGTTCTTCCAAGAAAATCTTTGAACTCTGTTAGAGTGAGAAACTTTTCGTTTTTTCCTTTTTAAGGAAAGTACCCAGTCTGACCACTTGAGACTCTACGTCAGTCACACTACCAAGTCCAGAGACTTTAATTGCTGGGACTGACGCCCCTTCACAACGGGCAGCTCCAGTGATCCGACAGGTGTCCCACTTCACTCCCTAAACTCACCACATGCACACTCAGTCAGACCACAGCTCCCTACCGGTTCAACCCCAGATTTCCCTTAGCAGAGCCCGAGATGTCTCTTTCCATAAAGCCATTTACTCATGGCTCAGTAACACAGAAACAGCTCAAGCTGGTGCCACCGAGAAGCACCCCCAGCAAAGGAACTTCAGGGTCTCCCTGAGCAAAAGTCTCCCTCTACCTCCTCTTCAGCTCCTTCCCCCTTCTCTGTGTCCATCCACCTCGCTGTCTTCATCTCCTTTGTTATCCAATAGGTCGGCAATTCCCGGCTCCTGCTGTGTCTCTCAGTGTCCACTCTCTTACCTGGCATCACCCATCTTCATGCCCTTTGTTGTCACAAAGGTTGGTTGTTCATGGCCTCTTGTCTTGGGCTCCCATCTGGAGTCAGTCTGCATTTCAATCTGCATCTCAATCTCAGCTACCTGGACCAGATGTATTCCTCAACATTCTGCAGTCCTGAATAACTAAAATAATATGCTTAATTTCAAGTGTAATTTATAACACTCCTCAGCTTTCTGGAAATGGTATGCATGAAGAGAATATCTAGAGCTTGACATTGATGTAAATCAGAGTAACTCCCTAAACTTTGACAGCAACTGGGATCTAGTTTTTTGCCTCCTAAAGAAATGTTATCCCCAATCCTCTCATTTCCTCAAGCTTTCCCTGCTCAAAGTGAAGGTAGTAAAAGTTCCCATGATTTATTTTTACTTTTCTATGTCTGCTTGAATCCCTTGAAAAGTTTGTTAAAAAGCACTTTTGGAAATAAAACAGGAAAATGAAAACTGAGGAAGAGGAGGAAGGAAGTTTTCTTCCCTTTAAAACCTCTTTGGCAAGGACCATCTTTCCTACTCTGCATTTTCTAAGCACCGTTTACTCCTGTATTTTGGTTCGTGCAATTCCCCAGTCCCATCAGTAATCTAAATAACTTAAACACAGTGAAAGTTTGGCTGGTTTTTATACAAAGTGCCTGTCTTCTGTATGCTCCTCCCTTTCGGGGCCCCTCGGCTGTAGTGCCATGCGAGTGCATGTGTCCTGAAGAACTTGGTGGCAGTGTTTGGCCACACTGGTGCAGTGGCTGTACCCAAACAACCATCCCAACTCATCCCTAGGCATGACTTGCCGTTTGGAGAGGGCTAGGTGAAGTCATCCCCCAGGTATTTCCTAGCTGTTGCTCTTGGGATTTTGGGGGTGTGGGGAGGAAGCAGTTGTGCTGGAGCTCTACTCAACAGCAGGGTGGCAACCCTGGGGCTTGCTCTCCCAGCAAGAGCTTTGCTGAGGGGTCCGTGAACTCTTTTGTCTTTAATAGGAGGGAGAAAAAAAATCAAGGCCTGACCTGCAAAAACTTGGCTAGCTTGCTGTTGATCACATGATAGGGAACTCAAAAAGGATACAGTAAAATAGCATAGGAGTTCCATATTAGATGTTCACTGAGGTCTTTTATGAGTGAGAGGAGGATGTGTATAAGCCAGGATGAGCCTTTCCATTTTTGTGCTCATAAGAAACTGCACATTGTTTGGTGCTGACTTTCCTCAGGAGAGGAAGTTTAATTCTCTGTTTTATGGACACATTTCTCCCCAAAGAGTAATATTTTATTACTCCATTTTATAACACAAGCAATCATATACTACCTAGAAATATAGAACATATGTGGAGGAGGGGAAGACCCCAAGTAACCTTTGCAAAACACCTAGGATGAGGGAGAATGACTGCAATGTTGTTCACAGGGTCCTGAAAGGAGAGTCTTCTTTAGAAATATCAGTATACAGAAATGGAGGCATTAGTGTCCATCTATCTTCAGCTGATGTCGAGGAATGATCCCCATGTGTGCTCGCACATGTCAGCTGACCCTGCTCCTTGCTTCCAGAGCACTGATTTCTTTTCAGTCCCCAGAACTGCTCTTTAATTTTTAAAGCTGTTGTGCTGACTCTTCAAAGGTTGATGGATTTCCATTTGATGAATTACAAAGTTATCTATAATTGCATGGAAAAATTTCTCTGTGACTTGTTTTCAAAGTTGTAACAGCATTATTTCTTGCTCTGTGTCTGTAAGGTCTTGAACGGAAGGAAACTAAACTGTTCTGCTTTCAGGTTATTCAGATACTTGTTTTCATTTTTGGGTTCAGGGGCTTCTTCAGGTTGTGCATTTGTTTCACAGATAACACCTGCTGAAATGGTTACTATTTGGCATTTATCTCTATGAGAAATAGTTCTCTTAAGCACTTTCTGAGCAAGAACGGAGAGGCTAATACCATGACTCTCACAGAGGGTTATTTTTGTATAATTATTTGTCCAGCCCCTCAGTAACATGATATCAGGAAACGAGAATGATAATATGACACTATGCTAAGTGAACTCTAATGAAGAAACTGTGTTGGGATTAGTAACTTGATACAGTCTTTTCCTTTGTTCCTGAAGCATGTTTTCCAGCACACAAACGTGTTGGATTTTTCCAGCAGTAGGGTACGTGATTTACTGGGGACTCAGGATTGCCATGTTTCAGAGAAATAAAATGTGTGGTAGGTTGGAAAGACAAGGAAACACGGTGTGCAGAGACACAGCAGGATATAGCCCAGCCCTGCAACTGGATGAAGAGCCTGCAGGGTTTCTCCCTGCCTCAGCTCTCCCGCACAGATTTTTAAGCACATAGTTGGACCTCAGCGGAAATCAGCCAGGAAAATATTGCAAGATAAATAGTCTGGATTTGTACGCAGCTGCCATTTGTGGAGCACAAATTTGCTCAGTCTTTTTTACCTCAGCTCGCATTTTAATCATGAGAATAAAGCATGGGATACAGCCTGCTTGTCTCAGGGATCTCATTTATGTTCAAGTGTAAGATGCTGGGTGGGTTCGTCCTTTCAAAGTAGATCCCCAAGTTTCCATTCCAGGGTGATGGAAAAGCGGGTTTCTCCTGACAGCCTCCACCAGGAGGACTTTGGGCACTCTCCTGTGCTTGGAGGAGGAGAAATCCCTCCCGGAGGCTTTCATGGAGGCTTTCACAGGAAATTACCTTTGTCTCGTGTAGGGGAGCGCGAGGTATGTGGCCTGGGAGCATCTGTCTGCTGGATACATGGCAGTTAAATGTTCAGTTAAATGTTCAAGCTGGATTGTTGTATCTCACTTGAAGTGTTTATGACTTCCAGTTCCTTCCCAGCAACAGGTTCTGTCAGGGGTGCCTGACAGATGGGGAACCTTGCTGTGCACCATAGGTGGGGTATGAGCTGCAACCTGTAATATGTTTTAGACAACACAAGTGCTTTTATAGGAAAAGTTGCCTGGTCTGTGCTTTGCGTTGGCATGTTTGGATTAATGCTGCACCTTATTTCAGCACTGGGTAGTGGAAGGTGAACCAGGCATGTGTATTGAGATATTTCTGTTCTTGTTTCTGTTTCCCAGGGATATGAAGCTGGATGGTGGACGCCAGTGCCATTCTACTGGAGTGTGTCTGAAAGAGATAATTGGTCTTGAAGGTGTGGAGCTTGGAGCAGATGGGAAGGTGGGGATGCTTCAGTTCCTACTCCCTTTAATTTTATGTTATAAGGGAAAAAATGGCTTAACTAATAATGAGCAGAAATATAAATTATAACTAGCACTGTAACACAGTAGTTAAAGTGCAGTATGTGCAACTGTAAATAAGCTTAGCAAAAATTCATGAGGACTGCCAAGCTGTCAATGCAAACAACTCTGCATCCTTGAAGAAATTTGCCTCTGGCAACATCTAAATCTCCAAAGCATTACTGAATTACACAGCCTTCCCCTGGCTCTAGCAGGAGGTATCACTGCAGAGTATATTGTCAGGAGTTTGAAAATAATTTCTGGTAAGAGTTGTAAGCTGTAATTCTGTTTGCTTTCAATTGTATTTAATAAAATTTTGCTTAACAATATGTTTTTCCAAAGAGCAGGAAAATAGTAGCACAAATCTGATGAGTCTTTCAAAATCCAAGAGTTCATTCACTTGAATAGAATAAGTAATTATGAATCTTTAGGGAAGTGATCCATTTTAAAGAAATATGTAGTGGAGAGACAGTTTTAATCATAAAAGAAAACATTTCTTGCTGAAAGCCTGATTTACTGTCTACAGTTCAGTTTACCCAGTCTGCTGTCATATATGCATTTAAAGGTCCTAGGTCAATGCTGCTACACATGGTGTGCTCACCTAACCAGGTGTCAGGCCAGACCACAGGCTGTAAATTCTTGAGGTCAATCTGCCTGCTTATAAATAAATGAAAGCTCACGTTTTATTTGATACCTGTTCTGACCTCCTCATAAACCAGTCTAGAGTCTGAGACTCATTTTTTTTCTTCAATACAATGTTATTTTTGGAAAATAAGCGGACAAGAAGCAAGGCATAGCCTATTCCTGGCCAAGGGTACAAGCAGAGAATCAGTGCGCTCTAAAAATAATTTTGTCACAAGTCACTCATTCATGCTTAGTCCATGTTTGGGGGTAGTAAATGATCTCCTACAACCATTACTGTGAACTGGAGCTCACTTGTTACACCGATAAGATTCTACCAGATGAAGTCCTAAAGAAGAAAAATAGCAGAGAAAGTGCTTAAATTAACAACCTTCAAGTGGTATGCCTCTGGCATCTGTGTGCTGAGGGACCCATATAGATGATGATAGTTAGTAAAGAAGCTGCTGAAATCTGCTACAGAGAAGGCCCACTGAAAAAAACCTGACCAAACTGACATATTTTTAAATCTGACCCTTGAGTAGGATTTTGTAAATCCAGTGTATTAGAGGTTGTGTGTGTGTGTTTGTTTTGCTGAAGAATTAATGCCTTTGCAAAAGCATTTTTTTGCATGGATAAACTGACTGCACTGAAGCAAATGTAGGTGACTGGTGTTTATTCATCTGTGCCTAACTACTAAATCCAGAAAATCCTCCATTAATTTGGCTTCTCTTTCTTCCAATTGGAATGCACCAAAGGCATCCCACTGCGGCCGAGCTGGGCTGAAAGTAACTGTCTGTCTGTTCTGAATTTGTTTTAGACGGTTTCTTATACACAGTTCCTATTTCCCACCAATGCTCTGGGAACTCGGAGAAACACGATAGATTCCACCTCATCTTTCTCCCAATTTCGCAATGCAAGCCATCGTAGCCTTTCTTTGGCAAGAGCTAACAGCACCCAGGGGAGCATCGATGCAGGTAACTTCTCAAGAAGCTTGTTTTAATATCTGTGGGTACACTGATGATGGGCAGTTATTGTGAAGGATGGGCACACGTCTTAGTACCAGTTTTAGCTTAAATTAAGCAAAATATAGTCTCATGTTGTGGGTGGAACACAGTTCATTCCGTATTTGTTTAGCAAAGCTTGCTTATGGGCGATGGAAAGTTAAGTAAACAAGCGTGTTTGTCGTATTGACAGCTCCTGATGGCACTCAGTGTGCCTCCTCCTGTCATCACCATCGTTTGTTCCTCCTGCATCAGGCTTATTGTTACCTTCCTTTGCTATGGAAAATTTACAGTGGCAACACAGTAGTCATAAGCTGAAGGTGTAAATTCCACTTGTGACCTTTATTAGGCTGGAATGGGTTGTGTTTACAAAACTGGACACAAAACATAAGCCAAAGCACTATATGCTTAAGATATTTTGGCATGATAAATGAAACAAATCAAGACATTTGCATAAACAGATGAAAACTTGTTGCCAGGAATAAAAGTCATTGTGGAACTTTATATAATTTTGCAGTTGTCTAAGCCCTAAGTTCACATTTACCAGGTAATTCAAAAGCTGCACGCCCTCTACATCTTTGCAAATCACATTAGAATAGAAATATTTAGAGTTTTCAGCATTTAGAGCAATTTTTCATCTCTGTCAAAAATCTTGAACAAAGACAGTATTGTGCAATATCTGTAAACTTGTTTACCACTTCTGTTAAGTCTAGAGATTTCTTGATGTAATGAATTCCTTTCTTATGTTTACTGTTGTTTTATAGGTAGTGACCTGGGAGACTTTGTTGAATATGACCCAAATCTTTTAGATGATCCCCAATGGCCATGTGGCAAACATAAGCGGGTTTTAATATTTCCTTCCTATATGGTAAGTGATTTAGTGTAGCTCAGATAAATTTTGGTAACAAAACTTTGAAGGTTGAGGTTGCATTTGGCTGTATTTTAAGAAGATTATTATTATTTTTAATCTAGTAATAACAGCTGTTTGGAATGCTTTGTTCTAAATGACAGTTACTTACCAGGACATGTTAAAACAAACTCGTGGAGGTATTACAAAAGTAAATGCGTTTATTACCACTGTATTTCATAAACGCTTTAGATGAAAGGCTTGTTCAAACAATGCGTTCATTCTCTCGCGTTCAGAGGAACATTTATACTTCCTCGAATTGGCTTCTATTACAAAATAGGAGGATGCCCATTGGGGTTTCTCTGAAGTCATGAAGCTGCGCTGTGTTTTGATGCTTATCATTCACTCCTCCGAACAGCTTTTTTTCCCAGGTATTAATTTCACCATGGGATAGTCCTTCCTTTAATTCCAGCAATTACGAGTAGAGCCTGTATATTTCTCACTGTATTCAAACCCTTAACGATACAGACACATAACTGGTCCTTGCTCTATGCTCTAACTCAGTGTTTTCTGTGGTGAGACACTTCTGTAGCCTTTTCTTGGTTGCATCACACCTGTAGACTTCAGTGTGCTATTTTGGCAGGACTGCTGCAAGATGCAGTGCAGTCATACACATGCGAGCATGTATCTGTCTGGATTATCCAGAGCAGTAGTAGGCAGTAGAGAAAAGATTCTTGGTTTTTTCCCTGAAGCACTGACCTAGTACTCTTATCTACTGACATCTAAAGTGTTGTCCATGTTCTTGCTTAACTTGGAGCAGAAGATATTATTTAAGAAACTACTAATGTATGTAAAGATACGGTCTTTCTATGTTCTCGTCTGCCCTCCACTCTGGGGGTAATTTTGCTCTTGAGTGCTCCTTCTTCAAAATGAATTTTAAGTGTTTCATGTAGATTGAAGATTATCGCTGTGCTAGCAGGAGTGTTCAGCCTGTTGTACACAGAGGCTTAATTGAGCTCCAAGGTTGTGTTTATGCTAGATTTTCAAATGGGAAGTCCAGAATGTCCTCTGCTTACTTTCAGCCAGTTTTCCTTTAAGGGTTGGCAAGTTATTTTTTGCCTGGCAGCCCACAAAGTGACAACCTTTTCTGGCAGCTACATCTGTGTGGGAAAATATTTGTCAGGTTTTGATGTGGTTACTGTCATACACAGGGAACTGTCTACCCTCAAAGAGAAAGACATTGTTAGCCAACATCCAAAGTGAACATAGCTCTAGCAGTCATGGTTGTGTTTCTGACCTTCCTCAAGCTGCTAATGTGCACCAGGCAGTATGAGTCCTGTAGCATCACCTGGGATCTGTGATCCCTTTTCAGCTTGGTGTCGTGATGGAGGTGGTTGGGTGAGTCAAAATAGGGCAGCCAGGATAGCGTCCTGCAGGGGAGATCTCCACCCAGAAGTGGTTCTTCAATACCCTTCTTTTCCATTTGCTGGTTGACTACAGCATTTTGAGGTCTATATTTGTATTTTTATTGCAAAATGGAGCTGACAGGGAATTTTCATTGTGACAGAGGTATGATTAAATACTTTAAAGGTGAAAAATGGACTTCAAGGGCAATTGTTAAAATCAGTGTCATCATTTATCTAGAATATATCTGCATTGACAGAGATCTCCCTGCTTTTTCTTTTTCTCTAGGTGTTAATTACTGCTGTGTCTGGAAAAATGTCTTATTTGACATTCTGGGGAGGGGGCGTTGCCTGAATTTGCCTTCCAGATATCACTTCTTCAGCACTGCCTGAGGGTCCATGCACTCCCATCTCCCTCTCTGAAGGCAGGCATTAATCTAAAAAAGGGCTGAAGAACATTAAGTGAGATGTTTCTTTTGTTAGTGGGAATCACAGGAATGTGCCAAGAGCTCTCTTGTTCTAGGATTTCGCCTGCCTGTGGTTAAAGCAGCATAGCTGTGATGCCACATAGGAGCTTTGCAAGAAGCTAAAAAGTGGGTGGTTGTTCCTCAGTGTTCACCTGAAAGATTTCCTTAGCAGCTGGTGTTTCCTTCAGCCAAGAAAAGGGAGAAAAGGTAGTGCAGGAGTGTCCTGGGAGCTTGCAGGTAAATAGGATTTTTCAACTCAGGCAAGGAGGACTTGTGCATAGAACTGGCAAATATAAGGCCATATTGGCTACGTAGGAGACTTTACTCACATCCATTTTAGACTTTCCTGACTCAACTGGCATTCCCTCCCCCTGCAGTTCACATCAGTGTTAGCAGCAATTTCAAGTCATTTTCTTCCCCAAATATAAAAATCGGCGTATGCTGCAATTAAAGCAAATTGCAGTCTGGGGCCATCGAGAAGCCTGTGGTTTTTTCCTGACCGTGCACAGCCATTGTGGTAGTGACAGACCTCAGCCAAATGACCGCAGAACTGTAGAGCTGCTGAACAGAGACTGAGAGCAGCCGCTGGTCCCGAGCGGAACACAGCTGTAATTACTGCCTCTCTCAAGCCCCGGAGCAGCTGAGGGCGTCTCTGATGTCAGCACCCAACATTTTGTTGTGCGTGGAGAGCTGCAGCTTGTAATTAAAGTTTTGTTACTTGGCCGGGATTTAGCATTAATGCTTGACAGCTGCAAGCTTGTAGATACTCCCCTCACCCCTCCTTATGGATGTCAGAGCAATTAATGGGGGGAAGGTGTGCGAGAGGAGTGGATGCTGGGCTGCGGCACTGACTGCGGGATAGAGCTACACGCACTGATATTACTCCCCTGAGCCTGGCTCGTGCTTGGCAGGCCAGGATTTCTCCGCTGGGAAAGCTCTGTTGAGGTGTGTGTGAATGCTGCATCAGTAAACACTGCAGGCTTTATCCTGAGGCATAAGATGGACAAAATGTGTGGTCCGGTGTGGATTTCACTCAGAAATTTGTGCAACTGGCACTCGATGTGCTCCATTTTTGTGGAGCCCGAGTTTATCATCACTGATATTGACTTTATAGTCTTTTAATTTTACTGAGCTGAATTAGTCCAGACTTGCAGATGAGCTTTAACTGCAAGTCCTCAGCCGTTTTAAAGGAGGAGCTGAGCTTTCTCCTTGAAGACAGCTGTGGGGAAGAAGAAGTGCTTACAGTTTGGTCTTTTTTTTTTTTTTTTTGTAGTGAAATTCCTGGCGAGAAAACGTATACACTTCCCTGTCGCATTTCTAAGAGTAATACCCACAAATTGCCTGTCAGGGAACAATTCTAAAAGTATTCTTCATTTCCCAACACAAACTCTACAGTTTCTATTAATTGTATTAGTTGTATTTAAACTCTGGTGTTCACTGGAGATATTATTTAATTTTGTGTTGTCTTTGTAGGAGTCTGTAATGTCTACCACAATATAAATAGTAAGAGGTAGAAAAATTTCATTCTGAGGGGTGGGGGGGAGGAGGGAAGCATCATGTCATGGTTAACAGATGTCTTCCTGGCTGATACTGCTAAAACAGGAATTCTTTCGGATCCTTAAATCTCTCTAGAATAGGAACTTTATCTACCCAACGGAGCAGTAATTTCTTTCCTAGAATATCATGTTGACTAGGAAATGTACAGAATCATCAATGTCTCCCTAGTCTCCCTGCATTCTTTCCAGCAGAAACTCCTTCTGTGCAGAAGTAGAAAACTCACTGTCAACAGCTGACTCCGCAGTCCTGCTTTTGTTGGTAACACAGAAACACAGAAGCATGTCAGCTGGCCACTGTGCACTGCAAAACTTGCAGCAAAAGAAGAAAAGCCCAGATGAGTTGTACCTGGACTTTGAGTGATCCTTCTGTAATAACATCCCTGAAATATCCGTCTATCTGTGCCCATGGGATAGATGTGGAACTAGGTTTGGATACTGAACTATAATTTCAGTGCATTGTTTTAATTATATAAAAATAAATTGACATCTCTACACCACTAATAAAAAAAGCATGTCACAGAAGTCTGCAGTGCTGTCTGTCAGTCTGCATTTGCTAGGTACTGCATCAAGCACAAGCCAGGCTGTGTTATTAAATATTAGTCCTCCAGTGTGATTTTAAAATTAGAACTGCTTGCTGTCCTGGCCATTTGGTCTAACAAAAGCCCTGCATGATGACATAATGCATTTGGTCTCTCACTCCCCCATTCTGTCTTTCACAAGGAGCATCAAGGTCAAGAGGACTCTACTACTGCCAATGTCCTTTGGTGCTGTCACCCTATTCTTCGAGCCACTTCCATAGCTGTAAATTAAGTATCTCCAGACTGCTTTTTTATCAGCTGCTGACCTTGTACCCAAAAGTCTCAGGGAGCAGAGTATTGCAGTAGTGGTAGATAATAATATTTAAACCCTGTGCTCTATGCATTTGATGCTATATTTGTCTGAGACTCCAATAAGCAACTATTTTGTAACAGTGACACACTGTATTAATTGAGAGTAATTCCAGTGTGTTAACAGTATAAAATAAACTGGCATCCTTTCATGTACTTAATTTCAAAGAGGCAGTTTTGAGATTATTTGCTTTGTGAAATTTGAAATCTTTCAGTTTAAGATCCTTGAATGTTAATAACTTTCTAACAACAAAAACATCTTATTTTAGTCTATCTTTAAATTATAATAAGCAGTCTGTCCCATTTTCCATCACAGTTTTAAGCCTCTGCTCTATCAGGATTTCCCATATTTATGCATCTTCAGCAATAAGTATATGAATTAGGTTACTGGCAGTTAATAGGTACGTAGCTGGTCATCTATGGTGTTTGTTAAGGTAGCCTGGCATTGCACAGTCATTGACTTCTTTTCACTTCTTGTTTGGCTGAGAAGTTACCACTGACCTACCAAAAGTCTGTTTCAGGTATCAGTCTTCTGTCTGGTCTCAGTAAAGTAGATTTATCAGGGGTACACAGTACTGACAGCTGAAGAGAGCCTGTCATATATCTTTCATTTTATTCACCTATTTTATTCTGGTTTTATCCTTCTTAAGCAGGAGGTAGAGGCATCCAAGGCTAGATCATCTTTTACTGGTTGTGTGCCAAAGTAGGATTTATTTTCAACAATATTTCATCCTGCCAGTCTTTCTAGCCATTTCAGGCATCCTCTCTCCTCTCATATTTATGAAACTATATATACAGCTTTCCTATGAGAAAGCAGCTGCTTGAAAACGCTTGTGAATAACACACAAGCTAAGCTCCAAGTTCAAAACTGCCAGCCATGCAGAAAGCGTGCAGAGTACAGGCTTGGGCTGAAGCATTCATCATGCTGTCCAGGCATCTGTCAGCTACCATATATCAAGGTTTTCATTAGTCTTGTGCAATTTCCATCACCAAACTAAAATATACATACAGAGATTTGTATACAGAGAATGTGAACAGAGCCCACGAAGGAGTATTGCTGAATACTGAAGTGTGTTTTGTGCAAATAAGCTGTGAGAAACAAGACAGACGGTTGTGGATGACAGAAGTTAGAAACATTGGAGATTACAGTATGAGAGAGACAGTTTGGTAGTTCCCAGTGCCTTGCTCTTGTGTCTGACAGTTCTGAGAATACAGAGTGCTTGCCTGGTAGGGAATAATATTATGTATAAGAAAGTATGTTTGGATAAAAAAAAAAAAAAGCTGTGCTCCTTTTAGGGAACTATTTGCAAACCCTTCACAAAATTTGGAGCATCAGTGTTGAACAGTGCTCCGACGGACAATACCAGACTCATCCTGGACAGGCAGTCATGTATTCTCCTCCACCCGGGACCTTTGTTTAGGCAGGCAACTCAAGTGCAACAACATGGCCTAAAACAGAGAAGAGAAGTGTAAATGCTGAGCAGAGAGAAGGCAGAGAAGGATAACGTTGGGTCTAAGCCCTGCCCTGTCAGATCCCAGCTGGTTTTTGTGGGTCACTGGGCCATCCCAGAGGTTTCCTCTGCTCCATTCTTCATGGGCAAGGGCAGCAGCAAGGGGTTGCTGCTCAGTGCCAAGCCATTTGCGGGATGCATGAGGTGCCCTGGGCTGGAGCCCGACTGGGGATTGGGATTTCTCTGTAGACTTGTGAGTGCTGTGCCCCAGCCAGGGCATGAATAGCAAGAGGGGTGCTCAGGTTCCTGGTCAGAAACAGTTTTAGGAGGTAGCTGATCTGATCACTCAACAGATACTGATTCAACATTGCTTTTAAATTACCTCTCAACTATACTCTTTAGGTGTTTTTTGCTGCCTGCCTTTCTGGTGGGCAGGGTCCCGCATGCATAGGATGCATTTCTATAGGCACCAGCTGGGCAAGCAGCAACCTATTATTGCTCAAAGTCCAGCTTCTTCAGCAGCTACGAAGGAAAAAAAATCAAGGCGGGGGGGAAAAACTTGCACAAATCCTTTTCTTGAGAATAAGGGCAGTTAGCTGAGTTCTCCAGCATGGCACTGACAAGATGAGGCAGTCGCCTTAGAGCCAGTGTGTTCAAACATGTTGCCATTATCCTGTTACATGAATCAAAACCAGCACACACCAGCTTTCATCTGGATTTCATTATTGTGATTTATGTCGTAGAGACTGTTGTCTTGCAGGAAGCAGCAGTATTCAGAGTTGGAGGGGGGAGATTCTTATCAACAGGACAAAACTGGCAAATCTCTGTGTTTAAAAATAGCTGTACTTCTTTACCATTTTCAGTTTTAAGCTGCCTGCTTAGTCTCCAGCGTCTGAGTGCTTTGCTTTAAATGAAAATTTTTAAAAGAGCTTTTCTCCTTCTAAAGAGAATTTAGCTGAATTCTGGCAAATCTCCCACAGTCTAGAGAAGTCCCAGGTAAAACAAGTCGGTGCCTGCAGAGCAGCCACAGGAAAAGGTGCACCCCGGGGGGCTGCTGCTGCTGCTGTGAGGCTCACTCCTCCTCCTCTGCACAATTGCCCCCAGAGCTGGGGTAACCCTGGCACCTACTTGTTAGAAGTGAAAGCAACTGCAACTTGCTGTCTGGCATAACTTCTGTGCAGCCTGTCAGCTGAGCCTGGAGGATGGACAGGACCTCCATCCACTGCTGTGCCCTTTCTGCTGAGAGGTGGTTTTTGTCATGCAGGTGAGGTTCCTGTGTGTTGCATTCTCCTTCTGGGCAAGAGAAGAAGATAACCTGGAGAGAGCCAAAGACAAGTCTTCCAGAAAAACACATGATCACTTTGAGGGAGATAATTAAGATGAAACTACAGAGCTTGGGAGCTCCGTGGTAATGAAGAACAAACAATAGGCATTTAGGTTTGTAGTGAAGCATGAAATAAGCTGTCAGGTAGCTTTGCACAGTAACACTGAGCTCACTGTTTCTAGGATTGCCCAAGACAACCAAAAGTTGTCTGGTAGTAACTGAAATCATCTTTGGATTTAATAGTGTGTAACCTCTATGTGCTTAGTTTCTCTTGACTCTGTAAGCAAGAGCAGCGTGGCCTGATGTTTCTGTACCTCGAGTAGCAGATGGCACCGGTCTGAATTATATGTGGCTTGTTTCAGTGCCCTCTTATAGCAGTACCAAGAGGAACCCTCTTAACACATAAAATTCCCAGCATATCTGTACATCAGAAGCACCCAGCTTCTTGATGATCCTTTGACAACAATGCTGAGGAGTAGGCAGGCAGGCAGTGATGTTCCAGGGAAAGAAAGGAAAGGAGGAGTTGGTAAGATCTTAATTCTTCTGCTTCAGAGGGCTGAGCCGTGCCAGGTGAGATGAAGCACGTGAGAAGCTCTCTGCAGTGAAAAGCCACGGTGTGTGCATACATCCTTCCAACCTCAGCAGGAGGAAGTTTTCCTCCCTGTCTTTTCCTCTCTTTGTTTTTTTCAGGTGTGGTAGCAAATTGCCTGCCTGAGCATCAAGGCTGCATATGAATTTCTAACCTCAATGGCACTTCACTATCTGTCCAGACACGCGCTCACGTTCATCCGTACACATGCAGAGCAGCAGGGGTGGCTGAACATGTGGCTTTCTCCTATTTGATGATTTCCTATAAGGGGCAGCTTTCCTTAATAGTGCTGAATTTCCTTAATAAATTATTCCCTTTACTGAGCAAAATTTGGACTAGTGCTTAACACCTCAGTGTGTTGGAGGGGGCTCACACAAGCATTTATACTTAAAACAACTTTAGGCGACTGTTGTGTGTGACATGCCCAGGAGAATTATCTGGCAGGACATAGTGGGGAGCAATTTATCTGACAGATGATGCTTCTCTCACTGCAAATCAGGTAGCAGAATGGCCCACATTTTAAAACGTGTATATGAACATAACAACACCCCGTGCCAAGAAGTTGGTTTTTTCCTATTGCACTACGTTTACCTCAGATACTGCTGTGTGCTATTCAGGGGAAACACATTCCTATAATTATCCATTATTTCAGTACCACAGCTCCTAAATAAAGTGCAGGAAAAGTGAGGTATGTTTTACTCCCCTTCGTGCTTATTTTGGAACCAGAGAACAACATGACTGGATAAAAGGAATTGTCTGCTTTCTGTCTAGAGCTGTGGCACTTTCCTTCCCCAGCCCTTCCATATACTATGGGTAAAGTATATGAATATTTATGAAAAAAAAATGAAAACATATGCAGTCAGTCTGTTTGGCTGATTTAGATTCCCATGAGGATATGTTACAGCAAAGCTCCATGTTCTATAAAGGCATAACATGCAGCAAGAGTTTTTGCATGTCTCTTTCCACCTCTTGTTGTTACTAAAGGAACAACAGAAGTGTTGAGCACCATAGATGAGGGCACTGGCATTGCAGTATTGGTCTGGAGAACCCTCTGCAACATGGGGATATTCCTTAGGTTGTAACAAAAAGGAATAGGAAGCTCAAAAGAAATAGGTTGTACACTTTGAATGTTGTCCTAACTCTTTTGCCCACTGTCTAATTAACAACAGCATTATTGTCTTGCACTCCACTGAAGTGACCTTAGCCATGTGGGCTAATTACCTATTTTATCACAAATGTATGCTATGGCAGTCAAGAATTTGTACCAGCATTTTCTTTGAAGAATCAATTTGAGAGAACCTTAATATGTCTCAGAACCTCATGGAGATATGCACACCAGCTCTGGTCATCAAAACAGTTATTATGATGATTTTTTGTTGTTTTTCAAGACTTTTCAGGTAGGTTTCCTCCACCCACATTTATCTTAAACTCACTCTTCAAGGATGCTAATGAGGTGTGTATTGTTCAAGAATTATGTTGAAGGTCACTTGTTTTGATGGAGCAGTCACAAATTGTTGCCTTAATTCAGATCTTATTTTCCTATCTCCTGAAAGCATCGGGACTGACTAGCACCTGTTTGGTATTCCTTGCTTCTGGGAACTGAGTGATCTTGTTTTTTACAAACTGAAAGAGTAATTCTCTTTTGACGTGTATTACAGACCACAGTCATAGACTACGTGAAGCCATCAGATCTCAAGAAGGACATGAATGAGACCTTTAAGGAGAAGTTCCCTCACATCAAGCTAACCCTCAGTAAAATAAGAAGGTACGTTTCAAAGCTCAGTAAGGCTGCAACGTGACACAGCTGTCTCACATTTCAGTGCAATTCCTGCTGTACATGAGGGGAAGCAGAGCACTGATAGATCTTCCAGGAGCAGTGACCAGCAGAGGTGCAGAGTAAATCAGATGATTGCTTTGGTCAGTGGGCTGAGTAAACAGGATAGAGGAATGTACAAACATGCACCAATCAGGTGTCAAATGGGAAATCTAAGGGATGAAGATGAGAGCTGGGCATGCACTATACTAAAATACCCAGAAAAATAACACAACAGAGTCTCTAAGCTTATGGCACTTAGCTTAAAAGAGACTGAGGAAAGAGAAGTGCTTTTATGCCTTGTGGAGAAAGCATCGTCAGAAGCAAAACAAGTGGACAGCTTCACAGCAAAGTTGTAATATTTCATCTGTTTCCAGTGTAGCAGGGTAGGCATACTGCTCCACTGAAGTAATGACAATTTACTTTGACCCTAGTGACCAGAAGGAAACTTGAGCCATGTTGCTTTGTAACCAGACAGTGCTGCAGTACATGGAAAGACTGGCAGTTTGTATTTGACCAACCATAACCAGCAGCAAAGCTGCATATAGAGCACCAGTAATAAACCTGTTGTTACTAAACAAATTGTATGCAGCATAAGACCTCTGATGAAATATCATAACTAAAAATGTCAAAGCTTTTCAGTTACTTTTCTAGTGGAGGGGAAGGGTGAGATGGTGAGATCAAAACGTGCCATGAAATGAGCCCACAAGACAGAGCATAAAGATATCTGCCCAGTAAATTATTATTATTTTCCCCTCCATTTGACTAAGCAGGAATCTCCAAAAAGATGACAGGGTGAAATGCGAAACGCTTTAAAACTCAGTTCACATCATACTTGTCTGGTCTCTTTACTCAGCTTGAAGAGAGAAATGCGCAAGCTTGCTCAAGAAGAATGTGGTTTTGAAGAGCCCACAGTGGCCATGGCCTTTGTCTACTTTGAGAAGCTCGCTCTCAAGGGGAAGCTGAACAAGCAGAATAGAAAGCTTTGTGCTGGAGCTTGTGTTCTTTTAGCAGCCAAAATTGGCAGTGACCTCAGAAAACATGAAGTCAAGCATCTTATAGATGTACGTATCCATAGGTTTCCAATGTTTCTTCTACATGAAGTGCCAAGTGTGGTCTATGCAAGCCTGCTTGCCAGTGGACTTGCTCTCCTTTAGGTTTCCAGATGTACGGCCAGCTAAATGTACTTTTTGTTACATGTTTTTGTGGCAGTAGTAGTGATCATTGTCACTGCAGAGGCATGGGAAGCTTGTTTGATGTGATAGAAGGCCCTGGTGTCAGATTCTGTGAGGTCTGAGAGGTATCTGACCACTCTTCTGTCAATAGAAGTCAAAAGTGAACCCTCAGGAAATTCATTTTGCTTTTAATTATGTTTTCGAGAGTGTCAGTAAGGACTCTCCTTTGAGAGGTAAATGCAGATACTAATTTCAGATGGTGTTTAGTAGACATCTGTATTTCTATCATCATGTTCAGCTTTTGGGCAAAAAAACATAAAGAGGTGTTCCCACTGGGACACCTCATTCCAGCTGCTTTTTGTGCAGTAAGGTGGGTTTTTTTGTAGAGTAAGTCTTCCACTTACTCTGTATGAAAGAGTTAACATAGGGGAGTGTTATTCCATAATCCTTTGGAAGCACTGAGATACTGATCTGATTTAGTGCTGTAGAAAGTTAGGCAGGTAGCTGGGTATGTGGCCATAACCAACTCACTTAATGGAAGATACATGAGAACTTGGATGGGGGACAGGGCTGGACTCGTGCCATTCTCCCACAGTCACAGAGCTGGGTCAACAACCAGCTTGTTAGAAAGTCCTCTGAATAACCACCAAAAAAACCCAAGCCAGTGGGAGTTGGAAGAATCTGGCTTCTCTTGCTATCCTGAAACATTGGTCCATCCATAGGACACACTGAGCTTTTGAGTAGGCTCAGTGGACAGAGAAGTAGCAAGCCACAGAGATCATGAGAAGAGGATGAGGGGTGGAAATATCCCTGAATAGCTAGTTGCCTACTTGTAGCATCCAAATCCAACAAATACAGCAGAGCACATGGGAGGTTTAGTACATTACAGCAGAAAACCCACTATAAAACCCATCTCATCCCCCTTGAGGACAGTAGTTTCTATTACTCACTGTTCTTATGGTTGTTGCAGATGACACCTCCTGCCTCTGAGGTATTAAGACCAAGTGTATTTAATTGTGGCTAAAAATAATGTCCCCAATAGGGTGTTGTAGCACAGTCTAATGTTGGAAATTGGTGATTTCAAGCAACGCAGGAAATTTGTGGACAGTTACAAGATGCATGCCTTCCATTACACAAGTGATTTTGATGTTTGCATGAAGCCAGGAGTTTCCTGTTCCTGCAGTGGTAATCACTGTGATCATTAGAGGACGTATCTTCTGGAAGTGGAATGAGTAAAATGACAAATGTGTCAGAAATAGCATGGCTGGCTGAGCTTTGTGAGTTCACCTTCACAGTAAGGAATCAGTACATCCAGTTCACCCTGCTCGGAGTTGCTAAACCTAGAGCTATGCAAGTCGATCAGGACAGAAGTTTAATGACAGCAGCATGCATGTTTTGAAAAGCACTAGAAAGGCAAATCCTCATTCATTTTGTTTAATTTATTTTTTTCCCTCGGCTGTGGTTGCAGAAACTGGAAGAGAAGTTCCGGCTGAACAGGCGAGAGCTGATCGCCTTCGAGTTCCCAGTGCTGGTGGCCTTGGAGTTTGCTCTCCACCTTCCTGAGCACGAAGTGATGCCTCACTACAGACGCTTGGTGCAGAACTCCTAGCGCTGGCTGCCCTGCGGGGAAGGGGCTACCGACTGTTCCAGCTTGGCTCTCCTGAGCCACAGTTACTACTGGAAATGCAAAATCAGACTCCTTACAGTTCACTCTCTCTCTCTCCCCACGTATAGGAAACACTGCATCAACGTAAGACTCTCAGCTTTGACAAATTTACGTATCATTGCTTTCTCAAAGCAAGCGAAGACTGAGCTGTTGGTAAATGGTTCACATGCTGAAACTGAGTGGTGACTGACCCTACCTGTAGGGACTACAGCTATAAAAGTAGGCAAAATTTAGAAGGGCAGCCTCCATGACCACCCCTCTCTGCATCACACAAACCCTGGAAGCCCACTGAGTGCATTCTCATAGCGCTTTTTCTACAGACCTGCTGCAAATTCCAAGAGGACTTCTTGAAGTGAAAAAGCTTTTAGAAGATATCTTCACTGTGTCAAAAAGAATGTGCCAATCTATTTTTGTATCAGCAATTGAAAGTGCACTTTTTCCTGTGGGGTGTTTGTGTGTGTATCTGTGTGTGTGTGCGTGTGCGACACCAAACTGATCTCAGTCCCGGTGGTTGGCTTAGCTGTTTCCAAGTGTATCAGTTACTGATGGTGAAGATCAAGGTGACCTTACACATTTACTTCTTGAAAAACATAACTACTGGAAAAGTGGTAAATGGGATCATTTTTGGACACTTGGTTTTTTTATTCTCTGATCTTTCCAATATTGTACCTTTGAAAGCATTACACTACTACTACTACTGCGAGAGAAGGATCAGCAACTGACCTTAAGTTTTCAATCATGTTTGTGGTAAAGATGGAAGCATTAGTATAAGATTTCCATGTCATGTTTTTTAAAAATATCTTGTGTTAAGCCACATGCATATTTTTAACCTTCGCACTTTTCCCACTGTGGAGATGGTTAGACTTGCACTCTGTAGTGTTGTATTTCTGTGCTCTATGTTAGAGTGCGTAATAAGCACATTTATTGTGCTCTATCTTAAAACAGTGTTTTATTAAAAAAAAAAAAAGAGTAGGGCTCAGCATTATAACAGGTGTCTTAAGGCTCCAACAGCAGGGGCATCAGCCGTTAAAGTTTTGGGTTTTTAATTAGAATTGACTGTGCAAAACCTAAAATCTGTGCCCATTGAAGTTAGAGACGCAGCTCCTTTAGACATTTCAGTACTGGAGTTTTACAGTAAAACTTCTTACAGCTTCCCTGGTTCTGACTGGACACTTGAGGGCTTCATCCAAGCTCCCAATGCTACATACACACTAAGCTAGTGCCATGCTTACAGACATTGTTCAATTGCTGTTATCATGTGGGATTACACCCCTATCCAATCTTCTCCTGTGCTGGTTCACTTAACAAGCCTTGCCCTAACATGCCCCACATGGATCCACTAAAATCAAATTATTACATTCATGGTAATTATATAAAATAATGATCTCAACTGTGAGATTTTAGCTGAAGCCTTACCTCTCTTAGTTTGAGAGTGCTTGCTCAGAGTACAGAAAGGGCTTGTGAGAAGAACGTAGAGAAGTGGGACATACCAGAGGATGTAAACACACTAATGCTTACTTTCTTTTGCTCTTACTTAAATCAGTTTTATTATTTCCTTCAGTTAGGCCAGGACATATCCGGTTTCTTTACCAACTTTGATTCCTTTAAATCCTATTATTAAAAAAAAGCCTGTATGTGATTGCTGTACAGGATCTGGAAAGGTTGCACATGTCAGGACAAATGGGAATTTGTTTGATGCTGTTGCTCTCCCCCCATTTTATAGGGGAGAGTGACTATGCTAGCTTACAGTTATTATTAATACTTATCTGATTACTGATATAGATACATTCCAACAGGTTTGGGGAGGACGGGGTAAAGAGAAAAGTGTGCACTTAAACCTTCCCAGTGTAATGCCCCATGTCGCTGCAACCCGCGCATCACTTGGCCAGCTGCAAAGTGAGGGGAGGGGGGCCCTTGACAGCACTCTTACTCCCTCCTTCTCCTCCTCCTCCTCCTTCTCCTGGCCCCCACGCAGCCAAGGAACAGAGGAGCCAAGAGCCTGGAGCATGCCTGGAGCCTACACAGCTGCCCTGCCAGTTTATTCAGACCAAAAAGGCAGTGTAGTGTTGACCTACAAGCCAAAACAGTCTGTGGGTCTGCTAGGAGGGCTTCCATCCTTGGCTGTATCCCCTTCCACCGAAATTGTGTGTATATATGTTCAAGATTTGTTTCTGATTGCAGAGATCTGTTTCTAATAGCGACTACTCAAAGTTAAGCAGAAGCTTTACCTTTCTGTAAAGGCTTCTACCTTTTGCTTTTGAGTCTCATTTTTTTCTTATATTGCTTTATAGCATTGCAGGGAAAAAGAAAATTGTGATTGCAAGATGCAGACTAAAGAATGACAGTCTTACAGTAGTCTTTAGAGACGCTATTGAATCATGCTGTCACATCTTTTGTCTTCTGTGCTGCTACCCAACCCTGATCTACAGTTTACACAGATTTCTGGGAGGAAATCTGATTGCTGGAGACTTTCTGCTTTTCATTATTGTTATTGTTGTTTTGGGGGTGGAAAAGTGTTTCAGAGTGATGTTCAGTTACAGTTTGAATGTGGAATAAACACTTAAGATGGTGATGATGTTGCACTGTTCACTTAGGAACGTATATAAAGCCATATGATGCTAGATTTCAGAGCACAAAGCTTGGTCAGTACAATTATGATTAGGACAATGGGCAGGATTTGCCCCCTGTTTCTCCCCAACCCTGGGAAAATTCAGGCTGAAGTGGTAGAGAAAATCTGTACCAAACAAAAAATGTGTTGATTGTTTTCCTTTGTCTTACATGGCAACGAGTGTTGATTTACAAATGATTTTAGGTTCAACCTTAAATAGTTTGGGAAAATAATCCATTCCATATCACTTGTTCTGTTTTGAAATTATATACTGTACACTCTACCATGCAGAGTTTATTCATTTTCTAAAAAAAAATAAATAAAAGTTTTAAAAAAACTTGAAAAGCTCATACTTTTTCCACCAGTATATAAAATTATTCCATCTCTCATCTGTATGTGTACAGGGTTTTGGTTTTGTTTTCCTCTGGGACACAGAGCTGCTTATTAGTGAGTCAGTAGTGGGATTGCCCAATGGCCCTCGCCGTCTCCTGGCATTCAGCTCCCTGTAGAGCCCTCAGGATCTTTCCTCCAGGCAGATCTTAACCTTCATTGTTTTGGGTTTGTTGGGAGTTTAAGCTCTACTTTTTGGCACCAGCCTCTCCTCCTGGAGTTGTCAGGACCAGCTTTTCTGAGTCCAAAGTCAGTATGCAGAAGGATGAGGCACAAGCAGGCTCCTCAGCATTGTTCTTATCTCATGACCCTTTGTGCACAGGAGAATTTGGAATATGCCATTTTGGTTTAGTCCAGGTGGTAGTAAAATTTACAGCTGGTCCACCTACCAGTTGTAGTTCACAAGAAACTGCTTTCTCTTCAGAGGTTGAAAGTTCAGTTTTGGACATTCGTGTGTGTGCACACCCAATTGTCCACCACCTGTTAGCATTCAAACTGTTTTTTCACCTATGATGCCCCCTAAATCCAATACCCATCTAGGTGGTCTCAGCAAACAACACCCATTTACTATGCATTTTCATTCCACATTAATAAAGTTTGGAAAAGGTTTGGCTCCCCACCTTCACCCAACACTCCAGAGACCCTCAACTGTAAATCGTACTTGTGACAATACAAACATTAGCATGATTTACACTGACCCCAGAACATACACACATACAGAAAAATACTTAGCAATCATTTTCCAAAACTACTTATTAACAGGCAAGGGCTTCTTTGGGATAGTTTGTAATATATTTAGATTATACAACCTCAGGTCATTGCTCCAGCCTTCTAAAATATGCTCACAGCATAACTTCCACTTCTGTGGAAGCAGTGAGGAGTAATTTTTTAAGAGTCGATTACACCTTCCCACGATGCTAAAGGATTTTGGCACCAGGTCCCACAGTAAACATTAAAAAAAACCCCAAACCAAAACCAAAACAAGGTAAAAGTAGTTTAGCGAGGTGAGAGACTGAGCAATCACAGTAACAATGCCAACATCACTAGCTGAGAATGAAATCTGTCCCAAGTTGCACCTTTGGGAAGGGAGGGAAGGAGTGTGGGAAGCAGATTGGAACTTCATTTGCTCATCTTTTATTGTAAACTCTGTAATGAAGAGTGGGAAAAAGGAGGAAAAAAGGAACGTTAGGTGCATCCCTTCACAGAATGTTGTATGCAAAGCAAAAAGGCCTTTCTGAAATCCTAAACCATAATCCTTCCCACCAACTTTACTGTGAACCCATACAGCCAGAGACCCTCTGCCTCAGCCTGGAGCCTGCAAGTGCAGATGAGTTCAGAGGAGAGCTTTTCAGTCACTACAGAAAAACCCGAACGCCTTGCCCAGACCCCAGTAGCAAACACCCATACCAACAGTATGACACAGAAGCAATGCTTACAGCGTGACACTAGGAAAGAGCAGGAACTGTGATCCTGGAAAATGGCCGGCATACCAGAAGTCCCAAAACCCCAACATTATATATGCTCAGGTTCAGGTGAGAATGTCCAGTACCTCCCCCGGGGCAGGGAGTTTCATAATGGGTGATTTAACTCTGTCACTCATGGGATATTTTTGGAGTCTTTGATGGTCTAGGTGTTGCAGCTGCCTATTATGCCAGTCCAGTATGGCCCATTAGCAGAGGTGACCCCTCAGGCTGGATGTGAAGGTGCTAATTCCTCTCCAGAAGGGAGTTATCATAGCTCAGTCATTAGGTGTGCCCTGGGCAGCTGCTGCAAATGATCCATTATTAACAGTCCATCAGAAATGACATAGAGGGTGTAGAATACACAGTTTTGGTTATACCCACATAGTAATAAACTGGTCTCAGCCCCTGTAACTAGGACAAACTTGAAACTGAAATCTTTCCCTTATGGGAACTCTGGGGTAGGGGGTCCTCAGTAGCAGCTGAGATTCTTAACCAAGTTCTGGCATTTAGTTAAGCAAGATAATAAAAGGAGAAAGGAAAGGCAAGAAAACCAGTCTTCTTCCAAGAGCTTCCAAGTGCAGTGGCTAATATCAGTGGGTATGACTATTGGGGGAGAAGCTGTGCAAGCCAGGTTTTCAGCTTTCCTTTAAAAGGAAACACAGCACCAACAAAAAGGGAAGCTAGAGGCCATCACAATTGTCCACATGAGCATCCCTAGAGGAAAAGGGAGAACTGAGGCGTGTTGAACACATGTTCACCTAAAGAAAGAGTTGAAGCAATGACTACCCACTCATCATCATCATCATCATCATCATCATCATCTTCACCATCATCTCTTCTTAAGAAATGGATCTCTCATCTCCCACAAGTCCTGTGAGAGGACTAAGAGGGTGCTGAATGAACAGCATGATTGAAATGCAACCATTAGCAACCTTCCTTCTGCCTTCCAAGTCAAAAGTGAGCTATTCAAAGAAGGCTTGCTCTGTGCTCTGACCTCCTGTGATGCAACCCACAAACTGGCTGCACTGTTGCTCCTCACAGAGCACAGGCATTTTAAAACATCTAAGCATAGATCTAGACATTTTAGGTGGACAAAGTCCAATATATTTCCAAACATCAGTACGTTGTTAGAATTTCAATATTTAATGCCTTCTTCTAGAACAACATCCTCCCAGCTATCTTGAAACATCATCCACTGAGCAGCAGAGAGTGGGTGGCATCAACATCTGGGCTATTTCCATGGGCAGAGATGACAACGCACACAAAGCCAACACTGTCATCTCCCATGACAGTCCAAGAGGTTAATTTATGTTTTCTGAAAATAAAACTCTGCAAACTGTCATCTCCCTTTCAGGGCAACCTGTATATCTGTGCAGAATGGAGTTGAATGAAGTTAACAATCCTCATAGAATAAGAATTTTTTTTTTTTTTTGTCTAGTACAGACTCCTTCATTTCCTCAAACCTGAGAAATACCATGCCTAGTCAGACTTCTGCCAGTCAGTGGAACACAGGAGGCATTGCATTGAGATGTACTCTCCTAGGAACATTTCAGATATCACAGTTTAAATTATAGATCATGCAGATAGATTAGGAACTATGAGATCCCATTTCCTCTTTTATTCCTTGTTATGGGCTTTTCTCTTGACTACTGCTGTTTAAGCATTTTTTTTTCCCTTTTTTTTTTCCGCTTTTGGTTCACCTTTTATTATTTCAACAAACACAAAGATAAACAGAAGCTGGTGCAGTGCTGGGAGTTGGGTCTGGCTGACTCTTTCACACGGTGCATCCGGAGCTGCAGACTCCACCCTTCGTCTGATTTATTTCAAAAGCCTGCTGTGTCCATTAATGGAAAATTGGACTCTGTTCAGGCTGTGATGGTGTCCATGGACAGGAAAATGGAAAGTTTCAGACTAAAGCTGCAGGAGACCAGGAAGAAAAATATCT